CTGTTGCCTAAAAATGGCTTTTGCTATTCTAGGTCTCTTGTGGTTCCAAATGAATTTTTGGATTTTTTTTCTAATTCTGTGAAATATAGTGTTGGAATTTCAACTGGCATTGCATTGAATGTATATAGCACTTTCGGTAGTATGGCCATTTTTACTATGTTGATTCTTCCTACCCAGGAGCAGGGGATACCTTTCCATTTTTTTATATCCTCTTCAATTTCTTTTTTCACAGTGCTGTAGTTTTCAGTGTAGAGATCTTTTGTTTCTTTTGTTAGATTGATTCCTAGATACTTCATTTTTTTGGATGCTATTGTAAAAGGAATTTTTTCCCTTATTTCTCTTTCCGTGTGTCTGTTATTTGTGTATAGAAAGGCTATTGATTTTTGGGTATTCACCTTGTATCCAGATACTCTACTGAATCTGTCAATTAAGTCTAGAAGTTTTTTGGTGGAGTTTCTTGGATCTTCAATATATAGTATCATATCATCAGCAAATAATGATAGTTTAACTTATTCCTTTCCTATCTTTATTGCTTTAATTTCTTTCTCTTGTCTAATTGCTGTGGCTAATGTTTCCAGAACTATATTGAAGAAAAGTGGTGATAGTGGGCATCCTTGTCTTGTTCCTGATTTTAACGTGAAGGTTTTCAGTTTTTGGCCATTCAATATGATGTTGGCTGATGGTTTTTCATAGATAGCCTTTATTAAATTGAGGTATAGACCATCTATTCCAATTTTTTGCAGGGTTTTTATCATGAATGGGTGTTGAATTTTATCAAATGCTTTTTCTGCATCTATTGAGAGGATCATATGGTTTTTGTCCTTGACTTTGTTAATATAATGTATTCCATTTATTGACTTTAGTATGTTGAACCACCCTGTAGCAAGGATGAATTTTGACAGTGATTTTCATCTCTGAACACTCTTCTCTGTACCAGGATGGGGAGGAGAGTGTTCCTCGGAACCATCCTCAGGCACGAGGCTAGGTATCAAGTAGGCTCACATGTTGGGGCTGTGGAAAAGTTGAAGAGAGAGAGGGGAATGGTAGGGCCACGCACGAGGAAAGCTTGAAATCTGTTGAAGCAAAATATATAGCTTTACCTCTCATCAACTGTCAAAGAAACTGACCTGGAAAAAAAAGACCTAGTGGTCCTAGAAGTCAGGAATTAAGACCCTATTAACTTTGGTGCTTGGCCATGAGTGCTCACACTGCAAAGCCAGAGAGTGAGGCAGAGCTTTCAGGCTGCTGCTGTTCTCTGGTTTCTAAGGACAGAAACTCTGGGTGACCCCGACAGCTGAGCCCCAGGCTATGTCTGACTTGCACCAACTACCCCAGAGCACACAGACTCCTCCCAGCTGCCATTTCTGCCTTCACCTCTCCAGCACAGCCTTGAGCATTTCTACAGAACTTCCTGTTTGTCTGCACTGGCTGTACAGGCTTGTAGGTCCCACCCAAGGTCATCTGGAGGAAGCCTGAGGTGAGGGATGGGGATCAGTTCTGCTCCCCAAAGTTCTTCCACCCACACAGGGGTCCTCTGGGCTTCATCACTCCCATGAGATCCTGAAACCTTATACCCATGTCAGCTAATAAGAAGGTCAAGGTGACCCAGAAAGGCTGATGGCCAAGATCTTTAATTTTTTTTTTTTTGGTTTGATTTTTCACTTTTCAAAAAGGCCAAACAGCAATGACTTCAGGACATGGCGTTCCAGAGAAAACTGGGAGAGGAACAAAGCCTTCCTTGGTTGGGGAGATGGAGAAAAGTCATGCAGGGAATGAAGTTTTCCAATCTCCTTAAAGAGTGTCACCAGGGTCAAAAGACTCACAGGTGCTGGGTTATAGGGGCTGTGAAAATGGACAGAATGAATGTTCCTGGAGGGCAGGGACTAAGTCAACACCAGCATTGGAAAATTTCCAGCATGTGGGCCTGGAAAATGTTCCTACTGCAAAACAGAATTTTCTGGGTGACTGCCATTTCTTCCCAACTTGTCCAAGAGGGCAAAGGCTAAAGTCACCAGGAGAGGATCTGTCTGCACTGACTAGCCTCGGGCTGTGTGCCATATGCTCATCCTCAGGACTCATTAGTGTTTAGACAGTTGCCTAAATATGCCATTGTATTAGAGCACTGTAGTGTCTTGGTTTGGGGATACCATAATATAGTCATGCAAATGACATGAAAACACACTTCAAGCTAAATGTTTAGGAACATGAACAACTTGGTGTTGAACCCCTTTTCTCACTACATCTCTCCACTGTTGGTTCCTATGGAACACTGGTCTGTGACAATGTATGGGAGAAGTCAAATAGGATATCAAAATGGCAGACTTCTAACAAGTCCCAAGAAGGTAGATGTTATTACCACTGTATTTACAAAGCTGTCTTTTCCTTTGTCTGTGTCCTTTGATGATCCAAAGCTTAGCTCTTGGGTTCTTTGTCAGCCCAATCTCTTGTCTGCTGGCTTCTGCTTGAGTGTGGCCATCATGAGCACCAGCAGGAGATTAGAGAAACTTCAGGGCATTTGTGCCTGAGACTCTTGCAACAGCTGTCATCCTTCTTAATGCAATTCTTACTAAGGCATTCGCCCACAACAGGAACAACTTGGGTTCGTGTTGTCCTTTCACCTCTTCATATATAAGGATCTGAAGTCACCACTGTTAGGTGTTAGATGCCTAGCAAATAGTTCCTTTGCTTAAATCTCTTCATTTGAACCATCTTCAGGGATCTCTTCTCCTGTAAGGTCCTGACAGAGTTTATAACCTGGGTGACTTCCCAGTCATAACAAGTTCTCTGCAGGAAGTAAATGCCACACTCTCAGTATTATTGCTGGTCTAATTATCCCCTGCCCCTAGCACAGCAAACCCAGGGCCCTTTGCACTGAGCTACACCCAGAGTTTCTTTCCTAAATTTTTATTTTTATTTTTGAGACAATAACTCCCTAATTCACTAAATTGTCTAGGCTCGGATTTAACTTGCATCCTCTTCTGCCTCCCAGCATGGAGGGATTATTAGGCATGCAGCACTATGCCTGGCTTTGCTAGTTTCTGACTGATGGCTGTGCCCTATAGGGAGGTTATCTTTGCAAAGATGGACAATCTGAAAGATGGCAAGACAATGGGATAAATCCTGGCCACAAGTTCTTGTGTGGGAGACTAACTGGTGATCCTTCCTGATGGATTCAGTCAATGTTTTGCTTATTCCCTTTCTCTGGATGATCCTGCATCCTCTCTCCTTCTAATGAATAGCTTGATTATAAACTCTATCTTAGTTTGTTTCCTGAGAACTCACCTGTGGTGATAAGTTTAGAACTTACAGAAAGAGCAGTAAAATTTTTAAAAATATGTTTTTGGGCAGAGGGAGATTTTGCATGTTGCAAGGAGCTAGTACAGAAGCAGGGTGAATCTGGCGCCTTCTGATTAGCCATTTCACAGCTTGTTGAGGGATTCCAGACCAGAACTGTACATTAACTTCTAAGAAGTTCAGAGCAAAGGTGAGATTGAATTGTCTATATACTTGATGGTAAGATGATTCTGCACACAATCTTGAGAAGAAAATAGCTCTGAAACACGATGTACACTCTCCAGGATTATGAGACATTGTGGACCAAGAAACCTGATAGATATTATTTCAAGTGAAATGACCTGGATTTTTCTGTTGGAGCAATCTGAGAAATGAACATTCTTTCTGAATTCGACCCTTGAGAGTATGCTTCATTACCAGTTTTCCTGTCTCAAACATCCTTATATCTACACACCTGCAAGAGGCTTAAACTCAATAGTCTCCTTGAAAGTACTAGGAGTTTGCCCTTCCCTTGCTCTGTCACAGGAAGACAGACCCCCTTCCACCCCCCACTACTGGAAACTTGATGATGGACCTATTGCTTTTCTCACCTTTTCCTCATAACCTTTCCGTGTGAGTGGCTGGTGCTTGAGTGTAACTATGAATCTCAATTCCATCCTGCTATGAACTCTAAGGCGATAGGAAGCACTAATTAAAATTATTACCCTCTGAGAAGATAGATACTAAGAGTTGTTGTCAAATTGCTGGCCAGAGACATTATAAACCCTATCATAACTCAAGGTACAGGTAAGGAGCAGAACTAAAACTATAGCCGAGGACATTGCCCTGCCAAATGATCAGTAAGATCCACCCAGGATCAGTTAGGTAATTCCTTCCAGACCCACCTAAGTTTCATTATGACAAAGTTGACTCTCCCAAACAATATCCTTGCTTCCAGTCTTGTCCATCTCCAGCCAAAATAATCTAAATCTGCTACTTCCATGATTGTACTACCACATTGGCCTTTCTATGTCTTAACAGCTTGCTAGTCCTGTGTATGTGATTGGAGAGTCCCTCCAATGTCTTAAGCCTTCATTCATGTCACTGCTATGGATCCCTCAACAGCTGGTATCCTTGGCTCATAACTCGTTTCTTTCCTGTGCATTGAGACAAAAACCTAATGATAGTGATGGCTCATAGCCAGAGTTGGGCCACCATGGGAGTTGTAAGGACAAATGACTTTTGATATTTCCCAAATCATATTTAATGGCTTCATACCTTCCAATTCTTGCCCAAGCCTGACTAGCTCAGAAACTCTATTTTTTCCAACCCAATTATCAAAGGAAACATTTCGATCTTCAAAATTTTATTGAATTGTTGAAGAGAAGCAGCCAATATATGTTTCGAATTTGGTCACAACTGGAATTTCACCCACACTTGACAGGTGATAGAGTCTTTTCTGAATTTGCTCTAATTTCAGGTCTCCTTGGCAGTCCCCTTTCTGTTGTCCCTTTTTGCTTCCTGGTGGAGTTTGAAGTTTACCAGGGTGGAGCCCACTGTCTGCTCAACAGTGGGAGCGGTAATTGCGATTGGCTATGGAGGAAGGACAGGTTAATGCTCATTAGAACATATCCATCAGTACCTTTCTGGCCCAGATATGAATTCAGTCGTTGGAAGCAGTCTCAGTGAGATTTCAGGACATGAGGATGCCCTCAGGAGAGATGGCTGGGAAGCAACATGTTCCCAGGTTTGACTGCTCTCTCACTCACCCGCCACTCACCATCTTTGACCCGTTTCCTACTCTTCAGATTGCCTTTCTGGTATTTTCCTTTGCTGCCACCTCTCCTGACACCCTTGTGAGGAGTTCGGTGTTTGCCCCTCCTCATGCCATGACTCTTTGATTTGCGGTTAATAGACATTGTAATTTCTGTCAACACGAGGGGCTTCTCAAAGCCCACATGTTGGGAGTCTGGGTATTTAAGGCTTTAGTCATTATGACCGCAGAGGGGTGTGGCTACGCAGATGGGTGGAGTTGATGTGGGAGGGGCTCTTTTGTGATGTCACTAGCTTTTGCTGCACTTTGGTCAGATGTGTGAAATAAGATGGTCTCTTTAGTGCGGCTCAAGGCTGGTCTTTAATTTTGAGGTCTTTCTAGGTTAAGTGAAAATTTCCAGATCTGTATTACTGAAAAAAACCTCAGGACATCAGGAGAATATAAGAAAGAACATTAAAATATGTGTCCCCTGACTGTTGGACATTTAAAAGTCTTTCAGTGTGTATATATGGATTCATGTTTGCCTCTCAGAAAATCTGGAGGTAACAAATGTACTATATTTCTTTAAGCACTTGACACTAGGAGATCCAATTCAGTAGAATCAAAGTGTATGTTTTCCTTCTCTTTCATCTAACTCAAGCTTTCTCAATGCTGATACCTTGAAGATCATAGGCTGGGTAAGTTTTTGTGGGTTGTCCCATGCGTTGTAGTATGTTTGGCAGTATCGCTGACCTCATCAGATGCCAGTAGAACCCTCACAAGATAATACAACCAGAAATTTTTCAAAACAATGCCACTTATCCTTTGGGAACCTGGGAGAATGTGTGTGGGGGGAAATGTAACCCTAGTTGAGAACCACTGTCCTGACAATTTTTAAAATTTTTGTCATAAATACTTAGTGCTCATGTAGGATATGCCATGCATTTCAATGATAGGAAAATATGGGTGGCTAAAAACAAATATAGATCTTGTGTATGCAGAACTTTCAGCTGAGAGGGCAGAAAGGCATTAATCACGCATTGACACAAATCAGCAATTTATTTCTTAGGGTGTTATTTTGACCCTAGAGGATGAGATTGGAGAGACAGAAGGGGAGGCAGAAACCAAACCAACATCACATGCAACAAGAAGCTTAAAAAATGTTAAGAAGACACCATAATGAGATTCAAGGCTGTTGGTTGGGGATGGATTGAATAGCTATGTGCATAAAGGGAGAGGCTAGGGTTAATAGCAGTGGTTTTAGAGAGATTTGATAACAGCTTAGACATGGGCCAGGGAGGGTGCTGATTGAGTGTAGAGACATACACAAGAGACAAAGTCGAGGTGACGGATTGGAAGTAGGAGGTGTGAGCAGTTGGTGTGAAAGCTGTGGCTTTTTTTTCTGTGTAATGCAGCTATCTGGATGCTTGTGCCACTCACAGTGATAAAGACCAGGCTTTGGGACAGGGATGACTGTGCACTGGTTTAAGGCGTATTGTGTTGGGTTCAAAGGGCCTTTGATTTTAATACTTCCAAGTAGAGACACTGTATTTCTTCTTTCTCCTTTGTAACTCATACTAAATTATTTGAGGCAACTTTCAATAGAACTTCACTATTCTTTTTGTCTCTTTCTCTCAACTGCCATTATCTTCACTCAAGAACTGAACATACAGCAGTTGAGTTTTTGTTTTGTTTGCTTTTTTAGCAAAAGTTTATTGAATAGAGGAAGGTAGTTCAAGTCCCATTCCCTGTATTTCTAATGTTCATTGACAAGATGCCCAATCATATTTTGAAACCCAAGTGTCTTTGGTGGCTATCATAAGCAACACTTATTTTCCTATTTTCAGGAACTAGGAAGATGGAGGAGCTCTGTACAAGTTGCTAGCTTGCCTTGTAGCTCAGAAACTTCTTTGCCCACTCTGGTCATTGTTTCTTCTACAGTCAGCCCCACAAAAGCAAAGACTACCATAAAAGCTGGCACTTAGCAAATGTGTTCCCCAGTGTGTAGTGCTCAGGTGTTAAAAAGTCTCACCGCAGAATAGAAACTCAGTAAATATTTGTGGAATATATTTGTTGAATGAATAAAAAATCCTTAATATTTTTTAACTTTCCTATTCCTCTCTATTTGTTCCACATCTTCAAGGAAGACTTCCCTTACTTATCAAGTTTTCATTTCTTTTGAAATTTATTCATTGTTCTTATAACACTGGCCCTTGAGTCTAGACAACAATGTTAATTATGTTATACCCTGTTTTATGCCTGAATTGCCATGTTGTATGTGTTAAACTTGTTTCAACAGGAAGCAGTGAGTCTTGATTCTGGTCAAGATGGACTCCTCTGGACTTTGACTCTCTTGTTAGGTAAATAGACAAGTGGCGCTAGGTGATCTCTGAGATGATCTGGTTTTGGTGTGAGCCTCCTTGTTAGAGATTATGTCTTTTATTCTACTGCATTTCTTACAGATGCTACCATGGTTCACAGTAGGCGGTCAGTACATATTTGTTTAGTCTAGCTGCTTTGGTTTATTATGGGGACCAACAGTCCAACACCATCAAGAGTGACTTTGAACTAGAGGGAGCAAGAAAGGGAGCAAAGAACATCTCCATCACACCCTGCTGGCTGGTGCTCTGTTCTGATCTCTGATGCCTGGCTCTGCTGGCTAGAATGTTTATAAAGGAATTGGCCTCTTAGGTTAGAGAAAGGTTTGCTGGATGGTCCTAGAGACTGGATACTATTTCTCTCCACATTCCCTCCCACCTCCAAAAGTTCTGCGAAGGAGAAGCTGAGGTCACAGGAAAGAAGACAGCCAGGCTTGAGAGCTGATGAAGAAACAAAGGGGCCCCCTTTGCATAGGTTTGAGGAGCTACTCTTGCTTCCAGACCTACTTGCTGAGAAATTTGAGCTTCAGAGGCGACTCACAGGCCAGGCAAGGGTGGGGCAGGGGTCTGTTAGGGTTGGCTCCTGTATCAGATATCCTGGGGTGAGGACCGAGCAAGGTTGAGTTGGCCACTGCTGCCTGCTTTGTTTCTCTTTCCATTTCTGTCCCAGTGTTGTGTGAGCCAATGGCAATTTAAATGGAGCATAATGAGCTCACTCCTTAGCAGGCCCAGAGTGAAACCTTCCCTGGAGAATCTTCTGTTAATACAGTCTGCTCACTGTCACCTCACCCTTTCGTCTACTAACATTTTTGGGGGGCCCAGAATGAAAAAAGCAGCACAGAGAAGATGCATGGACTACTTCAAATAACCCAGCATAGGAGGAGCAGAGACAGCTCAATAAAACTGCCTCCTCCATATCTTAACTTACCCAACAGGTATCAACTTTTGTTCTCCCTTTAACAATTTTGAATTTTTTATTTCTGATTGCTGAAAGAAAATGGATATTTTCTAGTAGTTGTTAGCACACAGAGAGACAGAACATTCCTTTTTAGAAGAGTTACCTCCAGCTCCTTCTGTCTTGTGGCTGCGGGTAGTCTTTCTGGCACAGGTAGATGGGTGTATGGTTCCCTTATTTCCTAGTAGAACAGCTAAGATAGAGGTACAGGGCCTACTGGTCCCATTCTTAGGAAGGAAAGAAGGAGTGTGTTACTGATTTAGAAGTCAGACCTCTAGCTGGATCCCTTCTCACCTCTGCAATTCAAACTTACTCCATCAGTTTTTCTGGGGAGTCCAACTGGTGTCTAAACAGGGCTGGATCTTTCCAGCAGGTTGGGATTTGAAGTTTATTAAAAGAGAGCATGGAAAAGTTGCTGACAGCCTTTACACATACTGATGACTCAGCCTGAATCCCATTCTGAAACCTAAGTCTCTCCAGATGTTGACCTTGGTTGGGGAGTGGGGACCTGCTACCCTGTTCACATGCACGCCCTGTCTTTTGTATGGTTACAGATGCTGCTGCTGTTTAAACAGACAGGGTGTGGGACAAGCTAGAGGAGGTGAAAGTGGCCAAGAGAGATGCCTCACCAAGGGCAGAGCTCTCTGATCCCAGAGCACATATAGTGTCTTCAGTAAAGAATTGAGAGAGACCAAAGATTCAGGTCAAGGGGTGGTTTCTGAGAAAAAGGAAGGATCCCCAACTCTACTCATCTTTCCCAAGATTCTGGAAAATACAGGGATATTTTAGTTCTGTTGATGGGTGCTTTTTTGCCTGAGATGTGTTAGCTTTCTTTCCTATTTTTCTCCTTTCTCATCCTTTCTACTATATTCTCACGTTATGTTACCATAAACAATTAATAAAGATTGTTTCCTAAAAGGTGGGAGATTCATCATGAGAGTAGAGCCCTTTTCCTGCTACTTTGGGGGTGCTGAGGATTGTCTGAGGGACTATATCTAGGCAACAGAATAGCCAAGGATAGACCAGGATGGCTGATCCCTAGATCATAGTCTGCTCACTGATCCACCTGGCCTTCTCTCCTTGACTTAGAAATATATCTGGCCTTGACTCCCCACTTTGCCTTTTCTGTCATACATGTGCTGTCAGGATCACAGCAAGCGAATCTAACATGGAAGGGAGGGGGAGAAAAAGTGGGTAGAAGTAGTACATTCTTCTTAGAGACAGGTTGTGAATTGGAAGGTCCTCTGGACAAATTGCAAGTTCTTATTTTCAGATATTTCTAACTTTTGTTTGCCCTTAATTTTGGACCTTTGAAAAATGAATTTCCATCCCTTTTGTTTTCCCAAGTCATCACTAACATAGGGTCACTTGGTGCAATGTATACACAAATCCGAATTTTCTCCCTAGGATGGTCCGTATAGTTTTCACTCTAATTCCTACCTATAGTAAAACAATGTGTTCCCTCTCAGAATACATGGAGACTACATTTCCCTACAGCCCAAACATAAAAGTGGAGTGGTATCCTAGGATATTTGGAAAGGGTGTTATAAAAATATCACATGTATTAAGTCATTTGACCTCATGTAGGAACAAATTTTTTTAATCCATCTGCCAACTGGGGTAAGGATCTTTGAGTTGGAGGGTTGCTGAACAATTTCACAATAAATAGGCTCGGGGATGAAGAATAACTTGGATAAAGTCATAGATTATAGGCAAAGTCAGATCCCATGCCTGGATTTCCTAATCCTCAGTCTGGGCTTCTTGCCACTGTGCCACGATGAACCACAGTTGAAATTTCTGCTCTTTCTTTTTTCCTCCCAAGTATGTTCTCTGCTTCCCTCATCTTCCTTCATATTCTTGCCTCCTTAAAATCATCCTACCATTTGAGGACCATTAATCTGAGGACACCTGGCCCATGAAAGGAAGAAGTTTTACCACAAAGAGGGGAGAGGTCCAGAGAGGCAGACTGAAATTACCACATATGAAGTCCAATGCCTTCATAATCGATGATTTCACAGCATTGTGAGTTTTATGTTGGTGCTAGTGCTTTGGGCAGAGGAAACCAGTACAGTCATTCATGGCTTAACTACAAGGATATATTTTTAAGAAAGCATCTGTAAGTGTTGCCATCATTGTGTGAACTTACACAAACTAAGATGCGTATAGTGTCACTAGGTGATATATTCTTATGGGATTATTGCTGTAAATATGCTGTAAACCATTGAGTGAAACTTCCTTATGAGGTTCATATGTATTTCTGGTTTATTTTTAATATAAGTGTTTGATATAACTCTTATGACCAAGGATGGGTCAAGACAGTATCACAATTCAGTCTTATTTCTTGAACTTGCTGAACCTCTCTCTA